CTTGTGGTATTAACTTTTTGCAAATATATATATATATATATTTAAGAGGGTAAATTTCCTGCAGACACATAGGAGCATAGTTATAAAGCAGTAAATGTGACTTTTACCAAACATTCCCTGGTAGTGAATCACTCACTATTATTGGAAACACATGCACCAGGAAGATTCGCTGCAGTGAATGTTTGCCGAATGTGAGATTCACTGCTTCCTAAATATTTTCTTTTCATTCACTGCCATGCCGCTTGAACCAGTCACTGGGAGCAAAAAGTGAAATACTGTAAACGTTGCTTGAATCATAGCTTATACATGACTGGGGGCTTTCCACGTGACAACACTGATTGGTCCAATATTATCACATGGAGTAAAGTACATGCTCCTGCATACCTGGAAATTCTGGGTACTTCCTTTGGCTCCAGGGGTTGAACAAAAAGGTAAGTACATATAACTTATGGGGAGTAGTGATGAGGCTAAGCTTGGTGTGAACCCAGTTCGCCTGAGTTTGCCCAAGCCCTCTCAAAACTGTGACCGCCACCCCAATCAGTTGCAGGGCAGAGCATTTCCCACCACACTGCTATATTTCACAAAGGGGTGGGAAATGCCCCCGCAGCAACTGCTGACACTGATTGGGTTGGGAGGAGGCTGTCACGGTCAGAGTTTTGAGCAGGCTTGGGAAACCCAAGCGAGCTGGGTTCGCACCGAGCCCAGCATCATCTCCGATGGGAAGTTATTGGCGAAACTGTTGTGGATGGGCATATGTGTGCTTTAAAGTAACCCTGTGACAAAAAAATTATTAACTTTTTGTTACTTTTAAAACAAGGCAGCAAATAATCACCTTTCCCAAGTTTTCGTCCCATGAAGTCTACTGGGAAACCAATATTTCTGGAAGTGTCAATATACTGGATCCCTCACAGCTCACACTTGTTCCTCCCTCTGACCTCATGTCACTGTAGGATGCAGTAGTGACATATGTCATAGGGAGGGTATATACTGTCTTCGTTTAGATGTCCCATAGGGTTTTATAAAAAAAAATGTTTGCGACAAGGTTGCCTTAAATCTGCATAATCGTTTTAGATAAAAGCAAGAATAGTTTTACCTCAGCCACACTTGAGGGTGAAACAGATTTGGCTATAAATATTGACTTAGGCCATCTCTACAGTTTTTCATAGACACTTATATAATATAAGGGATAATAAACATATGTCCTATAATAAATGTATTTAGCCTGCAGGTCACATCCGTTCACCCAATCATGGAGCTCTGCATTGTACTTGTTCTCAGTCTTACCGATCATTGGTGATTCAATGAAACTCCAGGTATTGGTCTGAGGCACATAGGACTGCAGGACCCCTGCCGCCCTGCCCGCTTCATTGACTCCTCCAAACACGTAGATCTTCCCTCCGCACACAGTGGCTGCTGCAGAGTGAACCGGTTTCGGAAGAGCCGCTACCGTCTCCCACTGGTTGATAATTGTATCATACCTAAAAAAGAACAAAATGGTCATTGTTAGCAGCTGTTGGCAGCATGGTTGAAATTACATAGTTTTCATAATCAACAAATTTAAAGTGTATGTCTAGCCAAAATTTATTTTTTTGGGATAGGGTGGTGAAGGGATAGATCATCAGTCAGGGTTTTTTTTGCTGCCTGTGTCCTTCACTGGCGAGATTCACCCTCTATAGTTCTACACTGTCAGAAGGAATAGAAGGGGACAGCTATTTAAGTGGACATTTCCTCTCACTTTAATTTGCTTCCCCAGAACAGGACATACAAGGAAATATCATTAATAGGATACAGAAAGCAAACTAACTGATCCACACTCTATCCTAAAGAAACAACTACAGTTTTGGCTTTAGAAATGTTATAAAGAAATAAAATCTGCTGGCAAGCTGTTGCCAAAAGTCAATACCGACCTGTACAATATTTTGGGTTTTGGTGGCCCTGCGGGGGTCTTCTTGCAGCATTGTAACCAGCTAGTAGTATCCCTCATGCTATAGTTGCCTGATTTTGAGTCCAATTTAGATTTTTTTGTCAAATACCCACTTTCTCCCACAATGCAATATTGGGTCTTAGCAACCAATCAACGGGTGCCTTAATTGGGATGCATACTGTGGTGGGTAACTGCCTTAGCACCGACCATCACAAAAGTTTATGTGTTCTCTTATTGTGCTGTAAGAGTATGTACGTAAGTCTTTAGAACATGCCTTGTAATTAAGCATGACCCAATGCATACAGTCTTCAGACCTGGCCTCTTTCTCTAATTGCTACATGGAACCATATGTTGGAACCAACTAGCAGTGTCCCTTATGCTATATAGTGTCTTTTTTTTCTTGTCTTCTCGTTTTGCTGAAAGTCAGTGTGGAGTCAAATTCCCCCCTCATCCCACAATGCAATATTGGGCCTTCGCAACCATTCAATGGGTGCCCCCAGTGGAGATGTTCTGTGGTGGGTAAATGCCTTAGCACCGATCGTCACATAGGTTGACATGTGCACACTGCAAGTTATCAGGTCTGAGAGCTCCGGAGGAGATCTGTAGCAGGAAGCCAATGGTACCAGCTGATAGCTGCTTATGCCTATTCTTCAGCTCTCACATTGTATTAGAAATATGTATAGGTGCACATTATAGGTATAGGTCAACATTGATTGAAACATAGTCCACATTTTACCGGATTCCTTCTTTAATTGAAAAGTTAGAAGGAAAAGTTAAGGCTTTCAAGGTTAGAGCATTTCACAATCTGCTATTGTACTGTAGGCGTAGATCTTTACAACATGTCTTGTATGTAAGCATTAACCAATGGATACATCCGTGTGACATGGTCATACTGCTTCTTTCTCTAATTGTTATAGGGCACCACATGATGAAAAAATTTACGCCAAAGTAATGATGGTTCTCTGCGCTTCTCTGTAAGTACAATTACTGTGGCTTCAGTCTGCTATACACACATAAAGGGCACTGGTCCAGGAAGAAGAGAAGGTCAGCATTCAGGTGAAGGTAGGAATTTGCTCTATTGTTCCAGGAAAATTATTTATAATGTTTAGTATGAATCACTGCACATGGAGGTAGGTCGAGAAGTAAGTTCCAGCAAGTCTTTCTCAGGACAGAGAGCCACTGACAGCACAGCTCTAACACAGCCACCTACCCCACCACATCTGCCCCCCCCAAGCAAGAAACACAATCAACAGCACCCAATCCTCCCCACAGCTCTACAGCCTCAAGTGGGTAGGGAAGGCCCTGGCTGTGAGCAAATTATAGGTTTGATGCTCCTGGCAGTGTGACATCTGTACTGCTGATCTCTGTACTGTGTGTCACACACAGCTGGCCTCTGTATTCGGCATTGCACCACTGACTTCTGTACTGTGCATTGTTACTGATCTCTGTACTCTGCGTCACACCACTGACCTGGTGGATTTAAGGCTGGGGCAGGGTAGGGGTTAGGTGAGGCAACTGGTGGCAAGTAACTTTTAAGGCCTGGCTAGTAGCTCAGGACTTGAAATTTTGAGCCCTGGACTACAGGATATACGAGCTGGGAAGAGGAACCACAATGCCGGCTGGGGGAGCGGGTATTTTTCATTTAAAAACCATTTCCACCATTTTTGCCTCTCATAATCAATGTGCATTGTCTGAATAAGTCACGTAACAAAGAATTGCCGTTGCTGCATCTTTCCCTTCAATCACAAATTGCCTATAAGAAAATTGCACCTTCATGTGATTCTCGTCTCCTTTTTCTACCTTCATGCTTTATTAACCATCGCTTACATAATGCATAGAGCGTCTACATGAGTGATTTTCAGAGGTTGTTTATTATAGAATGGAAATAACTCCGGTGAGGCATTGCCTTTAAATATAACCGACAGGAGTGGGAATTAAGATGACACGGCGAACTTAAAACTATTGTCTGCATTGACCCGTCTGACAAAGATTAATAAAGTGACATTGCACAAGGCAGAACTTGTGATGATGTGTACAGGTGACAACGCAAACGTGGATTCAGATTATAAATGGAAAGAGGCCCACCATATTGTTTATCCATAACATGTCTCATTACATTTGAAATGTTGGTTCTTTATTGCCTATGCTGTTCACAACACCAATGTGGTTGCTTGGAATAATGCAGAATTGTAGCAGGACAAGGCTTGTATTCTATGTTATATAATTCACAACTTATTCTTTATTGACTGTTATGTTATAGCCTTTGTTATGGCAGTTGATTAATAATTTTTTTTTTTTAATTATAAATGGAAAAAGGTGCGGAGCTGGCCACCGGCGAATAGATTTCTGAATCTTGTTATGGTTCTTCTCTATTAGAAAACAATTATTGCTTAAGTGCTGGAAAATTGGTATCTTTGGTCCATTGGAAGGGATGCTTATAGGCAAACCACAATGTAAATTCAGTAAGAGCCGAGTTGTGTTTGCCTTAAAGTGCAACTGAAGCCAAAAGTTTATTTTTACGTTTTGGATAGAGTGGAGAGGGATTAGAACACCTGCCCAGTTTAATTGCTTTCAGTGTCCCCGTTAGGGAGATTTACCCTCTCTATTTGTAGTGGTGACCGTTATCATTCAAAGTGAAAGCAAGTCCCAGATTTTGGGTTGTCATCAGAACAAGAATATATGGGAAATCTACTAATGCAAGCTCTAGTTCTGGGGATCACCTTGGATTTCCCTCAATTTGGAGGGATTTTCTATTGGACCGGAAGGTAAGGAAAATCACCCCAATGGGCCGGTTTACACCATAGTGAATCGCTAAAGGCACCCATGTGTTTAGTGCACAGTATTGCACAGCGCAATGCAGCACACGCTAGGTGTGCTGAGGCGTTGCCATTCATTCTGAATACAACTCTAATGCACCTCTCAGCAGGCCTATTGCATGGCACCACCCTAGTGTGTATTGCAGGTGATGTGCAGTGAATAAAAGTGCATGCCTTTTTCCCCAACATATGGCACTGAAACGCATGCTATTGCAATACTGTGTGTCCTCAGCACACTACATGCAGCTAGGAAGTGCATTGCAGTGCTATTCAGAATGAAAGGCAATGCTCGAGTGCACCTAGCCTGCAGTCCATTGTGTTGTACGACAGACAGCATGCGCTAAATTCACAGGTACCGTGCCTTCAGCGCAACACTATCATGTGAACCATCCCTGAGTTTATCAGAACAATTAAATCTCGCCATAATTGAGTCAGCTAATTTTGTTGTCGATGTTACCATGTCGACCATATGCTGACCATGATACATGTGATCATGTGATGTGTTGACCATGTCTAAACGGTGAACTTTCCATTCATACTGGATCTGTTGCACTGTATTATCCTCAATTTTTTAAAGGATGGTAACACAAGAAAAATGAATGGGGGTGAATGGGGGCAGTTCACCACAGCGCTGCATTGCGTTGCCGTACGTTGCACTAACAAAGTAGAGCATGCTCTTCAGTGCAACGCGTCAAAAACATGTGCTAACGCAACACATCACAAGCCATTACAGTGAAGTATGTCCACTCAGAACATGCTACTTTATATAAACCTTGGCAAAAAAGACAAAAACATGATGGAATGCAACGGATCGGAAGGAAATCGGAAGGCACAATCGCAAGTCAACAGACCCTTTGAGCACCTTCCGATTTTGGGTGAATGCACCCTAAAAATTAATGCTGCATCACACCCATGTCTGCCTTCCCATGCTGTGTTTCCATGTGGCTTGTATTACACACTTGGAGTGCAATCTCCCACTCAATATATTATTTGTTATGCCAAATGACTCTTTCAGTCTAATCTATTTTCCCCGCAACGCTGGGAAGCCCAAACAAAAGCCAGACTCTGAAATTAGCCAACGCGCAGCATTCCCAGCACGTCTGCGCTCGGTCCACAACCTCCCAGTGAACACATCTGACCTTTCCCTCTCCCTCCTTGTAAATCAATGAGGCAGCTATCCAACAGCAACTATACAGGGATAGACTGTTATTTTACTTAAACATTTTATTCAGTGGAACTCATCAGATCTGTTAAAATAGTACAACATGATGTCTCTCTTATCCCCTCTGTTAATTGGCTCATCTGAGCCTTCTACTTAAAAGGAGCCTTTGGTCTGGCTCGTGGGGTAAGCGCTACCTTCCCCATCATCAAGCTCTTCTGCGGTAATTGAACCTTCCTCCGTGTGAAGAATTGATAATGCTGCTTATTTGGAAACTAGTTCAAGAAGAGCAGTAAACTTGTAAAAACCCAATCAGATGTTGCTTGCTGTATACCGGGGTACGTTATACCGGCTATGGCTGATTGGGAATTTATTCTGGATGCTTGCTATCAGTGGTGGATTTATCACCATAGCAACCCAGGTGGCCGCTATGGGGCCCGGGCACAGGGGGGGCCCAGCCAGGACGAGGAACAAAGGGTTCCCCCTGATACCGTGTGGGCCGCCTGGGTCGCTATGGCATCTCAGGCTGCTGGCTGTCACTGGCGGCTGTGAGGACAACCTGTAAGTGATGTGTGCAAC